ACTTTCTAATGATGACGTCAATCGTGCGTCTGTCCTCTAATAGATCATAGGCGAGAACCAATCAAAATGCGAGAATAACTTGGGTTATTATATAAAGTACAATAGACCATTTTACAGTTGTTTGCTCAGCGACCTGGCCTTTGACTGGCAGCGAGGCTGCAGGTGACCTTGTTTTGATACAGAACTCACTGCTTTCGTTGTGTGAATCAAGTTATTCTAATGCTAACCAGGTGCATTCACATGACAAAAGCAGTGAGGTCTGTATCAAAGTAAGGTCACTTCGCTGTCAGTCAAAGGCCAGGTCACTGAGCAAACAACTGTAAAATGGTCTATCAGACATAGCTAGGCTGGAAAAAAAAAAAACTCGAAAACCAAACGGTTCATTTAGCCTCCCGCTTCATTGAAACAAGATTACAACAGTTACCCTATCTGAAACATGCTACATATGTTAAATAGACTACAAATAACAAAAGCTTTTATTTGTATTGAGAAAATAAAGATATGGTTGTTGCTGTTGTTGTTCATGTCATTTGGAATTTCAACCCATTTCTCAGCTATCCATAAATTTTGCAGATCTCATGTACTTCAGTTTCCCAGCTGACGGTAAAATTTTTATCAATTCTCGGCGTTCAGTTTAAACTCCTTCCACACCCTCAAATTAGCGACAGTGAAAAGGCTGCTACATCCGGAAGTCATAAGTGTAAACGTTGTCTAATGCTCATGCACGTATAAGGTAAAATGGCTTCGTGTAACTAGGCATGCTAAATTTCTCATGCCTTTCTTTAGAGTGCTCGATCTATTTCACTTTGTGTTCGCGTTTTGAGGAAAAAGAAATTCTTTGTTTACCTTCTCTTGGTTGCTAGGGAATTCTTCAGTCCAAGTGTGCAGTCCGTGATCCTTGAACATGTTCACGATGAAGTCACGTGCTCTCTGTTTGGCGACAGGGTCGATGTAAACATTTCTCGTGTCGCTGAAGTGGTTCAGGATCGAGCGCAGAGACTGAGTCTTAGTATAAGCTTCCACTTGGAGCGCTATTGTCAAACAAACTAAACCGGAAAGCTGGTGTTACGAGAAATGTTAGACTAACGCATAGGCGTACCGCAGATTTGACGTAACGCTTAAGTATTGAAAAACTAGTTGAAATTAGGGTATACATAATATTTTCTGTCAGTTATGTTAAATTGCCTCCTTTAACAGCTAGAGAGAAGAAATAAATGCTCCTTGCGTGATCTACATGAAAATAACTTCCGATGCGTGGAACTTGATAATGCTTAAGACAATCACAAAAATATTTGTGGTAAAACATCGACCGAGAGCAGTTTTGTCCAGTGTACTACTTATACTTGACAGAGTTTCTCTCGTCAACAATGATAGAGAAATTACTACTTTAACAAGATTAACCGGGAAAAGTCTTGCAAATTTTTAAATTTTAGTTAGTTTGCAAAGAATGAAAGCTGCCTGAATTGAAGCGTAGTTGTTTTGTTTTCGTTTCATTTTCACAATTCATTAAAGATCTGCAATCCTTTGTAAATGTGTTACGCCGCAAAATGTAATCATCTCCACAAAATGCAATATTAACGCAAAATGTAATAAGAATCGCCGCAAAATGTAATACTAACGTAAAATGTAATAACTTTGACGCAAAATGTAATTAAAAAAGTCAACGCAAAATGTAATAACTTTTCTCACGCATATTGTAATGACGCAAAATGTAATAACTCTCGAACGACATGTACGATATCTCGAAACCAGTATTATGACTCGGCCAACGTTATCCTGACTTAGGTAATACTGTGACACGTAGGTGAATTGAATATTTGGTTCAATTTGATGTACAGGTTATGTTTCGAAAAGAAAAAAATGTGCAATAGCTGTCAGTTTGAAAGTTCTATGAATCCGAACCAGGTGGAATATCGGCTTGTAACCCCGTCATACTTCGACGATCTTCAACTCCAAACAGTTTTCTGTTTTTCGGAGACTTTAAGAACTAGCTGCGATTTTTCAGGCTTGGAAGTGTACTGTTTTGAATGGCTGTGCTATTTCTTTGAGGTAACTCTCCAGTGTACCTTTCATTGTGTCTAAGTCATAAATTAAGGTTGCACTGTTCTGTTGCATAGCAACAAACCTGACCCACTTTTTACCATCAATTGCATCTGTATCACCGCTAAATGTAATAACAACGCTAAATGTATTACCAACCGTAAATGTAATACAATTTAACGCTAAATGTAATAAGCTGACCAACCGTAAATGTAATACAAGTTAACTTTAAATGTAATAACAGGTTACTAAGGGTGGCAAAGGCGTAAATGGCATCAATATCATCAGTGGTATGATATCACTTCAATAGATTATCGGATTACCCAATCACGGTTAATCCCCTTTACTAATTAAACCGTTAGGTGCAGATTACCCCCCGGGGGTTACTCCCATACAATACCTATACGGGTATGTGCCGCCCAACGGGGTCGTGATTTTGGAGCTCCTGAGTTAGAGCGGGGTATCCGTTTTAGAGACGGGGTATAATATTTTGAACGCACGAAAGCTCCAGTTTTGTAAGCAGCCATTTGAAATTATTCAAGAAGAGATTGCTTTTAAAAATACGATTCAAAACTGTTACACCCTGTGTTAAAAACAAAGATCATGACAGGCCTACACGGACTCCCCTCGTGAATTGCGATAGCGATGCATTTTAGCCTTCAGTTAAATTTTCGCTCTAACGAGCGTATCTTTTAGAGATTTGCCTCTCTTGTATGGTATAATCGGAGGTTTAGTATAGATGCTTTTCAGCAACGRCTGGTTTTGTATTACAACCCAGTTATTCATTAAAATTTCTTTTAGGCCACGTACTGCTGGGTAATATGTCGTGACAAATGAACATATCCAGAAGGACTTCTCATAACAGCCCACTTTCAAAAAGAGTGTAAACCTGGGGCGAGTTTGGTTGAGGGATCAATTATGGGATCGTTATTTTGGGGGCGCTCGCGCATTTGTTTTCAACACAAACGATTGCACAACGCGCCCCCAAACGATCCCACAAATGAGCGCACGCCTTCTCTCGCCCAGGCTTCCACTATTTTCGAAAGTGGGCTATGTAATTGAGCGATCCGCTGAAAAGAATTTCCGAAATGATGTTTGCAAATGCTCGACCATCAGAAGGGCTATTTTCTTGGGAAATCTTCAGAAGTTCCCAGTTAAGCTGTGACCGAAACTATGCAGAACCTCGACAATGTTCACAAAAACTCACCGAGACCTCAGGTGATGCTTGGTAACCGTAAGGGAGCTTTTAACACTACTGTTATTACATTTGAGAATAACTCGTATTACTTTTACGGTTGGTCAGCTTATTACATTTAGCGTTAAATTGTATTACATTTAAGGTGGGGTAAGTTATTACATTTAGGGTTGATTTTTATTACATTTGTGGTTAGTATTACATTTAGAGTTAATTTTTATTACATTTACGGTTGGTATTACATTTAGCATTGCTTATTACATTTAGCGGTGATACAGCATCTATCTTAAAAACTAAGCCGGTGACCCCATATTTTTTTTAATAAAAATTTTTATTATTAAAAGCAGAAGAAGAAACAGGCAAAATTAGAAAAAAATTCTGTGGAGTAGATTTTGCTTAAATTTTAAAAAATGGAAAATTCAAGATTGTGAAAGTATAAAGGGGTTACAACCCGATGTACCACCTGATTCCGCCTGATTCCGCCTGTACACCAAGTTAAACCAAATAATAGAATTCACCTACGTTAGGATAACGTTGACCGAGTCATAATACTGGTTTCGAGGTATCTCACGTGTCGTTCGAGAGTTATTACATTTTGCGTTATTACGATATGCGTTAGAAAAATTATTACATTTTGCGTTGACTTTGTCATAAAATAACATTTTGCGTTAATATTACATTTTGTGGCGGTTATTACATTTTGCGGCGTAACATACATGTAAGTGGCATACAGAGCCCTGCTTAGCCTAACACAGCGCACCTGTCAGAAGAAAAAGCAACACGAACGAACCAGTCTTCGCTTGCGACATCTTTGTTCCGATGTTGATAACGAAAGGTCCTGCCAGCCCTCTCACAAGTCAAGTTGCTGGAAAGTTACTCACTATATCGTTGTTCCAACGGTATGGAAAATGTGCATAAATAATACTTATTATATGGCTTTGGCTTGTGGCCGATATAACGCGCGCTCTGATTGGCTAAGAGCGAGATCTGAGCAGTCATTATGCAGCTGTAATGCCCACGGGCCGATTACGGATTATGCAAATTAGGATGAGCCCGGCTCGGAAAATTCAAGCGCATTGAAACGATAAAAGCCGATTAAAAACAGTAAGAGAAAGTAAATTTATTCCGAGTAGCTAAAAGTTTAGAGATTTTTCCTTAATAAAATTTATATAGAAGTTTTTAAGCGTTTGAATGACTTATTAGAGAAATACGCGGTATCCTTCACTAAACAATTCCTGTTATCGCTACTTCATCGTGATCGCCTTAAAGCATTCCCGCAAAGAATATGACAAGCTCTTTTCATTAATACTTATATATGCGCACGGCCATGCGTAAACAAATTAGCTGCAAAGTTTCCGTCGAGTTATAGCTATTTTGTTAAAGTTTCGGTAATGTGAACACCAGTTACCAAGTTAAGATGTTCAGTTCAAATAAAGCTAGTATTTTGACTTTGTTTGTCGACATTTTCATTACGTATTTTAACTTTGTAAACTTGCCTACAGTTCTCATCAATTCGAAGAAGCGAATTTTTCGTTGAGAATTTTAGAAACCTGATGAAGCGTTCTCGCTCAACCGTGGGATCGTGGCGTGTTTTCCTTCGCCGTGCGTTGTGAAAACCTTTCAGTCAATCACAAAGAAAATCACATGTTTTTGCGCCAAAGTTGTTGTCATTATGTTATATAAAAATTGATTCATGCTTAGCGTGCTTATATCGAGTTGTGAATACACTTGGGAAGAGTTTGGAGAGCACTAGAGAGACTCTCAAGAAGCTAGAGTTGCTCTCGGCTGCGCCTCGATAATTCCTGCGCAAAAACTTCCCGGCTACATCCATATTCGTTTTCTTCGCAGCCAACGTCGACCCTAATAACGGCTGCGAAGGAGACTAATCCATAAATGGACATATGGACGCCGAGTCCGGTCTACGTTCCTTCCAGAGAAGAGAGGAGGGAGGCAGGGGCTCCTTCCCTGTACAGCGGCTTGTAATCGAGCCTGACGCTAAGATCACAGAGTATAGTATATGTGTTTAACTTGAATAAACCGGACCAGGAATAGGCCATTTTGCTAATGCAAATATTTCCTATTTCCGTTCCCTTGTGGAGGCAAGAAGTGACGATCACTCGGCCAAAAATGGCCTCATTAATTCATTATATAGATCAAATTTTGCCCCCACGAGGGACTGGAGCTAGCATTAGCAAAATGGTGTATTGACCTATCAAATAGTATATTGTGTTTCATTGTAACGTGCTTCATCGCTTAACATTTTCTTGTTTTGTTAGTTAGTTTGACGTTAGAAAAAGGAGAGAATTTATCTTACTTTTCAATGGTAAAATAAAATTCATTTAAAAACATAGTGTGATTTTATTGTATTTTATTTTCCATCAACGTGCAAATGTTCTTGTCTAACAGTTAAAATATTCTTAAATTTTTCGCTAATATTTCAGACTCTAAATTCTTATAAATGAGGTTCTTATAAAACCAAGAGTGTCACCGAACGCCAGGCTAAGAATACGTAAGTGTACATCATAATCCAGCGGTGCACGATAATGGCGTGAGGGTCTGTGAGCAAAGTCAACGTCGCTTTGTCATATCGATTATTTTTTTCCACACGAATCGAGTGGCAAGACCGAGAATGCGAAAGGAAATTTCGGCTGCGATAATGGACTCGTGCCACAAGCCACCGATAGAAAGTGAAACCTCTCCAGACATCGCAATGACAGCTAAAGAGGTCACAGGGCCTCCACTAAATTAGGAATAAATTATAACGTTGAACTACTTTTAAAAATATCCCGAAAAATTCCTTTTTGGAGGTAATCTAATTAACAATTAGATTATCACCTCATAGAAATCGAGAGCGAATAATCTAATTATTTTAGCAGAATTCTAACTGAAGTCAGCGCAAATAACGGTTTTTAATTATCTTTCTAGGCGTTATTGAACTTTACGCTTTAACAAAATCGCACGCATTGAACTGTCCTTGGTAAATTTGTTGTTGTTTACGCGCGCGTATCCGTTTTTTCAATAATTTCAAGTGTTTAATTAAAGTCAAGAAACCACTAATGTCCTTCTTTTAGTCTTCTCAGGAATTTAATTATCCATTTACATCTAAACTTTCTTCCAAAACTTCGGAAAAACGATAAAAACTTCGCATTTTGTGGACGGTCGACATCCACTGCACTCTGATGGCTGATAGTATACGAGTAGCTCAGGCAATCAGATTGCAGCATTTGCATAACATTACTAGTAGAATTCTACTAAAGTGAATTATTAAATTTCCCCGTTCATTAGAAGCTCTACTGAGAAGTTTCGCAATCGTTAACACACATAGAGAGAACAAGCATTAAAAATAATCGAAATTTTGTAGTGAGATTGACTGGCGAAACATAGCTGAACAATTATTGCATTTTCGTGATACATACACAATCAAGAACGAAATAAGCGTTCAGTTGTTTGAATTTCGCGTGAGTAACAAGGCCGCGAATGAGTCTAGAAAGATTCCTAGCCGCTATTTTGACAATCTGGTTTGTGCTTCTTCCAGTGACGTTTCTGACATTTCGTATTGCAATAGGAGACTTCTTTGCAACCGAGGCATCTTTTTAAGGTCCCAGTCTTTGAATGGCAAAACGCGCACTCCGGGTCTCCGAGAGGAGGGGTGCATTGAGGAGGGTCAATTACGTCTGCAGAGCACTCAGAGAAGCTGTCTTCAGGAAGAGCTTCATCAGAGTAACTAGACGTTTCTGAAGAAGGTAATGGATTCCGTGGAAAACCTTTGGTTTTAAATTTCCTCTCGCCTGCTGTTTCTTGAACATCACCTAGAGAAAAAGTTCCAAATTAAATGAATGTTTGAACTTTTCTAAGCAAATAAATAAATTAATCAAATTAGTATCATTCGATGTATTATGTATTCCTGAATAATCTCGGCTGACAGCTCGTGATTTATAAGGTTTCCTCATGTTCTCCCAACATCCCGCCTGGTTTATTGCGCCGGTAAACCCATAGAAAGAGTGGTCTATTGCTTAAATAAAACATGCAACGAGAATACAAAGAAAGCAAACTCGACGATCGAATGATGAAACAAATTTCCAGTGAACTCTGTCGATCCCTTGCAGATCGGTTATTTGCCTCAGATCGCAGATCGGTTATTTGCCTCAGCCTTCGGCTTCGATCGATCAAGGTCAAGGTCAAGGTCAACTTTATTTAGGCAGGGTGGCCCAATCAGCACTTGGCTGGTATCAAAAGGGGCCCTGCGTAAATTAAGACTACATTAAATTTCTATACATAGAGATTWACGTTTACAATTATAAAAAATTAAAAATAAAAACTACTCTCTAAAATAAAGTCTAAGAAGATTTTTAAAAATGGGGAGCGATGTTGCTTCTTTTATTGTAGTGGGTAAATTATTATGATCTGCTCGCCATTGCCAAATTAGGATATTTTGATCAACCTCGTCCTATATTTTTTAATTTGTTTTTGCCTGTACCGAACGAAATGCTCATTCAACCAGCTCTTAGAAGAGTAAGGCAGAAAACAGTGAGATAAAAGTAGAACCGTAAAAAGACGACTGCTTGGGTGCAACATTTTGCAGCAACTTGCAGCACCGGTGGTAATACGCACAATAACCTTTTCAAATTGCAGCGTAACACTTGTGCAAGGAGAGTTGCAAGATGTTGCCAGAACCAAGTAGTGGTGTTGAAAGCTAGGCGGGTCGTCGCACTTTGGACCTTTCCGTCTATGGCATTAATTCTATCAGAGGCACATCAATGATGTTGACTTTTCCAACAAATTTGAATATCTTTCACTCAGGAACAAATTGAGAGACCTATGACCTCCTAATTGCGTTGCCATGAAGACTTCAATAAAAGGTCAAAAGTACACAGCATTTTTAACATTCTGAGGCCAACAACTTTAAAACCACTCAGTGAAAGTTCCTCTTTTTGAAATAGTTTTGTCTACCCTACGAAACAGCCATTGTTACATATGGCTTAATTCAGTGGGCAGGGTTAGAGCCACTTTAAAATTAATGTCTTCCACTCGTGTTTCTTTGTTTTTTAATTCGATTGTACTTATAATAATTCACGCAACAACGCACTCGCTGGCATTTACCATTCCATTGTTATATGTATATATATACCTGTCAAGTTGTTAAGAGCTCACTACCGGACAAAGACAAAAAAGCCTTCAGCCTCTTCTATAGGCGTTCAGTTTTCGCGCGTCGCTTTTCGCGCTTCGCCCCAACTAACTGAGCACTTGGAAGGGGCAAAAAAACCTCAAGTGACAAGAAACGAATAGTGAATGGTGTTTGACTTACTGAAGAGATCAAGAGTGCTTTCTCTTGGAAATAACAGGGTTATGAAGGAATCTGTCCAGACATCAGATCCACTTTGGGCGACTCTAGCTGCATTTGTGTACAGCATTTTTCGAAACAAGCTCTGTTCCTGTTGAAACGAAGGCGTCATGAAATATCATTACCTTGAATGTAATAAAATAAATTCAAATTGTTTATCCACAGTTTCGTCACAATTATTTCCATTCCAGCACGAAGGACCCATGAAAGTCACCTTATGTTTGTTGTAGGCTACCTTAGAATTACTTAAATGTTACCAGAAGAGACAAAAGTTTGATATCGTGATCAACATGTCCAGAACACCATGTTACTTGGAGCTACTGAGTTATGTCGCTACTAACTTACTTTAGTAAGTTCGTAAGAAAAAAAGTCTTCTCCATTTCAAAAATAAATTAAAACACAGCTTACCATCGCTTATCGTATTCGCTCACCTGTTGATCAGCGGGAATTCTTTGTACCAAATGTAGAACCGTACGGTTGAAGTAGGCTTCCAATAATCGTGAGTCTGTTGGATTATTGCGAAGCATGGCAGCATACCGTTGACAATCACTGAAAACAACTTTAGCGACGGGCAAATTCTTCCATTTGTACACGTTCTGTACTAAGATAATGAATCCTTTCTTGCGCACTATGTCGTCCGGTGTCTGATATGGTTCTTCGATGATTCCTCTCTCCTCAACACACTGTATCATCGGTGTCTTTTGAGTTAAACAAAAACAAAGAGATAACTATTTTTAAAAAAATTGGAAAAGACGGTCGTGTGGGTCTATCATCTACAGTTACCAGTTCGAGGAGTTCCAGTCATCCAGGATAGTATCTCATAGGTTCTTAAAGGAGCTACGTCACGTGTACGATTAGTTGAATTATTTTGGCCGCGTCCAAAATCCTCTTTAAGTTGAAGGAAACCTTCAAATAGTAGTCTACTTAGCGGATAGAAAAACACCAAAGAGATAATAATAAATCATAAAGGAACAAGGATGGTTAAGGATGGAGAAGATTGACATGGATTACAAACCACGAACTTGAAAAACTTAGGCTTAACTCTTCAAGAAGCGCAAACCGTGACTAGCTTCTTTAAGTAAAGGAATCGTGGTTACATTTCTATTTCGCGATTGTTTTCCCTCTCTCCACATCCTCTTTTCGGCCAGAGAGCCTCCTAACAGTCTATAATAGCTCATTCCTGAAGAGGTATCAAAACTCAGCGAGAAAATCCAAAATCGTGATAAAGATTATTGAAATGCAATGTTAACGAATGGTAGTGCCCCTAGACATACCTCGGGCTCTGTTATATGGTTGCGTAAAATCATGGAAATGGTTTCTCTCAGGTTAAAAAATGGCGAACCACTTTTCCTTTGTTCCTTCAACTTTAAATCAAGCTTGGTACAAAACATTCTACCGCATACTCTGAAATGGAAATCAAATGCACCAGAAAATCACTCAGGGTAGTTCAGAGGACATTTGAGAACAAGGGTGGATAACTTCTCTATCTAAATTTATCGTGCTGTCTCAAGCCTGGTATCCGTAGAATCGCCACGATCGCTATGCAATCGCCTGAAGTTGCGCTAATTGCATGAACAGTCCTTCTTTCAAGTTTGATGAGCGAGAAGCTGAGTGAACTAGCAAACAGATAAATGTTCGTGCAAAACTCAGACGACCCCTAATTTTATTTAACGAGCAGTTTTTCCTCTCATTATTTTGTTGTTGTTATTTTTCCTGTCTTTCGCGGTCCGTTCGTCGATCTAGTGGAGGAAAAGAAAGCGGCCGCATGAAGGAAAAATCGTTTTATATAGTCGGTGCAACAAGTGCCGTTATTTAGTGGGGAATCGTCATCTTGGTAGAAACGCTGCGAGAGTATATAGTTGTTCTTGTTTTTAAACGAAATTAAAATTATAGAACGAGTTCGAACGAGTACTCTGCCATGTCTACATTGCGATATAAACAATAATCATGTTTCATTGCAACATTTTACGAAAACAGCGGGCCTAACATCAGGGACAAACGTCTTGGAACAAATTTGCACTCTTGGCGCTTTTGCGCACACGCCAGGCGCGATACTACTTCACCTGCCAAACCTCGCCCCCCACCCCCCATACAATGTTGAAAACTACTACCAGCAATTTCTTCTGATTTTCAACATTGTATTGGGTGGGGAGGGGGAACAGTAACGCGTTTTTAGAAGGACATCAGCGCTTTTTTTCAAACTTCAGTTAATTCGTTAAATTACATAAGTGTCCCAAGGACTTTTGTCCACGATTGTAGTCTTGAAAAACGAGGGTACTTGTTCCCCGTACTGTTTGCATTATATCACGCATACCTCAAGTCGTCCAGTTTAGAGTCCCATAAAGGCAACGCATGGAAGGGAACTGGTCCCGGGTTCCGTATCACAAGCTCTCCTACTGTTCCATCTTCTCTCTTGGGGATGTGACAAAGTACGCTTCCGCGCGTGTTTGAAATCTGGAACTTTGAAGACTTTACATCGACAGAACATGAAAAGTACATGTGCAAAGGGTCTCTGTCAGAACGAAGAAATAACAAATAATAAGTTCTGTTTTCTTGTATGAAGAATCATTGTATTCCTTTTAGAGGATTTATCTCCGGGGGATCCGCAAATAAAAAAGGAACGGGGGTACTCATCGAGCCAGGAGATTAATTGTTGTTCTAGAATTGGTACCCCTAAGGGTTGAAAAAATTTCAAGTCACGCCCACGAAGCAGGATCTTGGTACCTCCTTAATAGGGGTTCTTTTCAAAATTTTCAACGAGTGCCCCTGTCCTTTTTATATAGGAGTCTCTCCCNTTTTTTTTTTTTTTCATGCCACTTTTGGGAAACACAAAAACAGGACTATTCTAAACGCCTCAGCATTTGACATCTACCTTATAAACGTTTATTTCGCAAATGAGCCTTTCAATCTAGAGTTTAATCTGTTGAAGTAAACAGAATTTGGTTCACTGAATCATCTGTTTTCCCTCAAAATTTTAAAAATTGTTCAAAACCGATTCTTTATAGTATGTAGGGTGAAGAAGCTGTCTTGTACTGTAAGTAATGTATGTAGCCTTTATTGTACTGTTTTAGTGCAACGTAACAGCCAAAGTATTGTAAAGTATAAGCAAACATAATAAAATAAATTTGTTATGATAAAAAAACAAAACAAAAACAAAAACAACAATAAGAATCTGTAATTAAGTTTACATTTATAAAAGGATTGCAGATAAAAATAATCTGAAAATTCAATTCAATTGGCAGTATTTTTCAAAATGATACCCACCCTTTAGCATCCTCAAAGTCTATTTGGACTTCGGTTGGGCATTTCTCTGGATGGAAAGTAATCTTCATCGCTTTCGCTTTGCAGATTACCGAGTCCAGTATTTCAAGTTCTGCGTAGTATGAGAATGTGTTCTCCTCTACTTTTAGTACCTGGAAAAGGGAAATGAAATGTGTAACCATTTAACACAAAAATTTATACGCGATTTAATTGCTACCAGGGAGACAGCCGACGTGTTTAGAGAGGGAAGAAGAATAACTCTCAACAGGTAAACAATCAGACATAACTTATGACACTCGCTGAAAACCTTGCAAAGTTTGCTTTTGAGTACGCCGCATGAAACAGTGCGACGCCTTGGACAGCGTCAACTAAATTGACATGACCAGTTGTACTGATTCAGTGTGTCTAACGGCGTCAGAACTATCCTTAGATAAAAATGGGAAGGCAGGGTTCAATTTCGAATAGAAACATGAAAAATACACCGTCGTGGTTCACGTTCTCAACAATACGCAGACCTTTGTGATTTCAAGTTGTTGTTTTGTAGTGGAGGGCAAAGAAAATGTGCCACATTTATGACATAGTGCAAAGCCTTGGCAAAGCCCTGGAAGGGATGCTAGTCCTTTGCAGGGTTACCCCAGGCATTAATTTCGCCGGTACCCAATTATACACCTGGGTGGAGAGAGGCACCGTAAGAGTAAAGTGTCTTGCCCAAGTACACAACGCAATGTCCTCGGCCAGGGCTCGAACCCGGACCGCTCGATTCGGAGATGAACGCACTAACCATGAGGCCACCGCACCTCCCACATGACAAGATGTAGACTTACCTTAAGTACTTGGCAATTTTCACTGGATTCATTTACGGTGAAGTTTTGTACCGAGAACAAACCAAATGTCTCCAGTGGATCAACCACTTGAACACTTTTAACGATCTCGTCTCCGAGTGGAACTGGTTCACGATTTATGACTTGAAGCAAGTTATTAAACAAGATCAAGAGATCATCAGCTGTTGACGAGATCCACATCCGGGAAGTTGACTTCAGCTCATCCCAGTCTTTTTCACGCAGATGGAATGTCACGATGTGTGTGTTGTCATCATATCGTAAGTTGTTGTAAATTACTGAAATGGTCGGTTCTACAGGCACACCCATAGCTAAACGCAACTTGAATAAGATAAATGAAATGGATACAACAGTTTACATTGATAAATATGTAAACATTAACTAATTTCGATTTATTAGCCTCAGTATCAGACACTGGCCAACTGTACTGAAAAACATATTATATTAATTCTGTTAAATCCAGCAGTATTCTAACAGTTATCTATTTGGGACAAAAGCTGAACCTGAGAGCGTAAAAAGCAAGCCTTGAAAATCGAGAGACATCACTTAGGGATGTCATCGATTGGTATATACACACTCCAGTCGACTCCAAGATCTTGGTGTTTCAAGCAATCTGATTGGTTTGCTGTCTCTGACTAATATACACCGGGTTACATTTAGATTTAGCTATTACCACGTGACAATACATCAAGCATTGCAATAAGATCACGCGTTAGATTCAACTAAACTCCAGATACATTTAAGAAATAGAAACTATTTTTCGTGTGTCTATCGAGTTTTAGTATAAATCTACCAGCGTTCTATCACGAATGCCGTTCTCTGACTGGCCACGCTACTCACTATCTATTCTGTGATAGATACTGAGTAGCTTAGCAGTGTGCCCTTGTTAACATAATGGCAGTCGTTTCTTAACGTTTTCGAAGTGGATTTGGATAAAGTTTTGATCGACAAGTAGATTTATACTAAAACAATTAGATTATTCGCTCTCGATTTCTATTTAAACAATAGGGTGTTTGATGTCGAGGAACCATCGGCTGATAGTTGCCCCGCGGAAATTTGATGTTCTTAAAACAAATATTTGCCCGAGAAGCGAAGCTTCGAGGAAAAATATGCGAGTTTTATGGACATCAATTTTCCAAGTGCAACTATCATACCGATAGTTCCGAGACATTAACACTCTATTGTCTTTATTGTTCACCACTAAATTTTCTTCCGCGCGCCAGTTCAAAAATCACTTTAAATTATTTTTTAACTTTTTAAGATGAAAGCCGTGAAAAGCCAAATGTAAATTTTTTGAAAAAAGGATAACAACCCATATAATGTAATTTCAATTGTTTATTTTCTATAAGCCCGCTACTTTACGGAAAACCTTTCACGGACGAGTACTATCCATCCGGGTATTTTTTTCAGACGGGCACTATGGGCTAATAGTGTCTCTCCGCGGATTAACACTATCGCGTCACGAGATCAATTTAAACCAATAAGAATCGGAGAAAATTTGGTGGTGAACTATAGCGCGTGATAGAAATCTCGAGCTCATAATCTAATTGTTCAATAGAAACACGAGAGGACTTTTGGGAGAATACGAAATACTGTAGCAACACGAGCCGACAGGTGAGTGTTTCCACAGCTTTTTCGAGCTCTCCCAAACTTCCACTCGTGTTTCTATAACTCGATATATACACTGAGAACATGTTTTCTGTCTTTAAGGTTTTTTGAAAACAGCCCAGAAAAAATAACGAACAAAGTGACTACGATAATTTTCTGTGTTTCCGTTGAGTTATCGTCTTATAGAAGTAAGTGCATACGGTTTTTACCCAATCAGCACGCGTACTTTCTTTGGGCTATTTATAGATATACATTTAATTACTTGTCCCGAGGGTAACAGTTAGTTTTGTTTTCCCGAGAATCTCGATGTTTCCCGAGACACAGAAGAGCTTCCAACTTTAAATCACCCCATACAAGAAGTAAGCCGACCATACGAAAAAAAAAAGAACAATTTACTGTAATTAACTGACTTGTGACTGAAGCTGTTCAAAATCGCTGTGCTCCCGCTCTATACAAATCATCGGGATGGGCGTTCCTTCGTACCAAGAGGCCACCGATATCTTGGAGGATGCTTTTATTTCAACTATAGGCTCTAAAAAAAGGATGAAACATAACCAAGTGGCTCACAACAGTTTCTAGCACTTTTCAAGACTTAGAATTTGCTGGGTCATAATAACCACTTTTCATTAGGTGATGCTGCAATTATGGTTTTTAAAAACCGCGCAATAACTGGGGAACACGTTGGTATCATTTTCGTGACATAACAGGAACAGTATAACCTGCTTAAAAAAACCTTTAATTTTAGCTTTAAGTTCTTATATTTCCAAAACGATACGATGAAACCCACTTTTTTATTGTCGAATTTTGATAAGCAGGATAAGTTGCAACTTTTAAAAAGTTTTAAAATATTTTGCACATGGGGTTCAGAGCCACCTTAAAGTTTCGAAAAGTTTTGTTTCCAAGATGCACTAGAATAGTTCTTGATTTGTTCCTCCTTGTAGAATTTAGTTGGTTTTTGCTCTCTGTGTTATAGAATTATTTTGCAAATAAATTAAAGGTATTGTACACAGTTTTGACCAACAAAGGTCAAAATCCTCGGGGCACTGCCCCTTTAATATCTTCTATGCATATTACCAAAACCAATGTTATCACTCTAGCCAATCACAAAGAACACAGACAATACAGTAAACCAATCAAAACTGGAAGGTAAATACATGCAGCTGACGTGAAGTGCGAGAAAACGTGTGCGAGCGAGTCACAATTTGTCTGGCTATAACTTCTGATTGGATGAAAAAGTGGGGCGAGTTTTTTAAGCCAATCAATGTGTCGTAGAAATGCAAAACCAATTTTTTTTCGACACTCAAGTGAAAACCACTCTGAACCAATTTACTTCGATTTATTATGATGAAGTCTTGACAACAAGTTGCTTACAGAAAGGTCATTATGAAACGTTCGAAAGGGGGAGCTTATCTTAAGGTAATTCCCCCGAAATAAAAGTGACAATAGATTTTTGTTCAAACTTTGTCCACTGAATATTTGTCATATGATAACTTCAATTTTGAAATAAAAATGGGGGGTGCCCAT